ATGGTGTGGAGAGTCATGATACCAAAAAGAGCATTCAATTTGCAAGGTAAATATCAACTGTATGAAAAGTAGCTCGGAAGAATGACTCATTTAAGAGGATTCATCTTCCTTCTTCTAGGCAAAGTGACTCTAATCAAGCGAATAAATATTATACCAATCTACCTCGGGGCCAAATGGAAATATATTTAGGATGGTGTGGCGAGTCATGTTCCCAAAAAGACGAAAAAATCTAAATTGAAGGCATCCATTAAAAGAGCATTTAATTTGCAAGCTAAAGATCAACTGTATGAAAAGTAGCTCAGAAGTTCTATTCAACCAAACTTCCATTTCAATTAGCAAGAAGTCCATATTATTTTAGAATTTCTTCTTACATGGCCAATAGTGCTCTGATTAAATATGTCTCGTCCGGTTAAAATCTTTTTGAGGAAAACAGCTTCAAAAAGAAAAGAGCCAAAAGGATTGAGCCATTTAAAAAATTTTGGAAGAATAAGTTAGTTACAATTGCTTCTGCTGTAAGTTTAAAGCACAAAGAATACCTTTTATTAATTTTAGGGCAGTAGAATTAGCATGTGTGTTTATAAAAGTTATCAACTATGAAAGAACATATAAAAATAAATTTTACATGACAAATCATTTTAAAGAAGTGATTATAAGGGTTGATTAATATAAAGTAATTCAACAAATCACTTACAATGCACTAACATGCAGAGCAACAGGAACATGAATTGAGACACAATACCCTTTTTTTTTACTTCTTTGATGGTCACAAATTATATTTAGCATTAAACAATATTTGTACTCCAAATAAAGTAGATAGTAAATAAGATCATCAATAAAGAATGCAATCAAATCACGGATATAACAAGAGATGCGAACTTCGAAAAGAATTTCATCATGGATCATTAGATAAAACTTTCAATTTTAAAAAAAATTGTGAAGCTAAAAAGGTTTACAAAAGCAGAGACTCATTTTGCATCAACAATCATTAACCTCGCCTGATTCAAAAATATAAAACAAGGTTAAAAAACAATGGTAATTAGCAATATAGGTAGAGCATGCATTGAAAATATGATGAGCATAAAGCCAAATTTGCAAAGAAAAGATACTTAATTATTTCTGATGGGATAAAATAAATAATATTATTTCTTTTACAAAAAGCAATATTTTAAGTATTAAGAATGGCTGATACAGACAAATTTGTATCCAACTTGTGTATGAAATTCGAGAATCTATAATAAAAAAGGTTAAAGGGATGATATATTGATTTTAAAGGAAAGAAGAGATATAATGATGTCCACATTTATAAGGTAATTTATGATATTTATATGCAAAGATGGATAAAAAATAACACTTCAGTAATTAGCTCATTCTCTGAATCTAAATTATTAACTTTATCCCATTTTAAAATCGTGTTGTTAAAAAAAATGATAATTATCACAAGTGATAAAACAGTCATTTTATATTTATCAATGTTTGTTTCTCTTTTATTAATGTTAAGCTTCTTATGGGAAGTATATGCATGTGATATTATACTTCACTATGTAATATTACCTTCAGCGGAAAATATTAGTATCAGTATTTTAATTATACATTTTATATTAAGAACTTACAAAATACATATTACATCTATAACATTTCAAATCCTATTTTTTATAGTTATACATCTCATCGCCTTGTTTGTGTCACCAAATTTGTGCCTATGCTTTATAGAGTGTCAATAAATGATACTATAACATGTGCCCATGACAATGGTCACTAGAACATCAAGTTGAGAGAGACCAAAAGATTGCTTCACCATCTAAGCTGGAATAGTGAACTGGAAAGTTGAGGGCACAACCTGCCAATGAGAGCCCAATGGCATATTGACTACGTACAAGTAAGAAGATGATAAACTATTGTGCTTATTATAAATATGTTGTTTTTTGAAAAAAGTCTAACAACAACTTTATTACGACAAACACATATTAGATGATAAGATTGTAGAAAGCCATTTCTTATCACATAATTTTTTGCAAAACAATCAGAAAGAGGCAAGGAAACAATGACCAAATAGAAATATGATTGCAATCAAAAAAGCAAAACATTAAAAAACCTACCACAAACATGTCCTAAATTTCAGAAATCTGATATTCTTATTCAAACGTGAGATTTGTGGTCACCATTCTTAGGGGCTGTTTGGATGCAGGATTTAATAGGATTAAGCTGATTTTGAGCATGATTTATGCCAAATCCTGCCAAATGGGACCTAAGCACCCGCTAAAACTCACGGCGGAATAGATCCCCCGTCTCCCCATTTGGACCGAAAATCCCAGATTTTGTAAATCCTGAAATTTCACAGATTTATGTAAATTGGCCAAAGAAGGGCGCAAACGGGAGAAAGATAGTTCATATTCTCACATATTTTCATCTTTATTTAATATTCACAACTTTCGATTTACTTTCTTTTCTCTTCAATTATCAATTCATTGTTTCAAACCACAAAGACAACCACTCTGCTGTCATGCATCAGATAACTACTTGGAATATTATTTGTTGTGGTTCTACAATCTCTTGTAAATTTTTTAAATCCACCAAATCAAAATAAACGACTTTGCAAATAGCAAAATATGATTTCGGAGAGCTGATCTGTACAGGCAAACAAAAGCTGAGTTGAATGCTAGTCATAAATAAAAAAATGTTTTAATTCCAAAAAAGCGCAGAAGGTCAAAGGCGTGTACATATTCATAATACATAAACATGATATAATGTTCCTTAAGCCATTGAGGATAAGTATATTTCAACAAAGGGAATAGGACACTACTGATGCGGACATCCAATCGTCCATGCCTGTCCGAGGAGCTGAAGATCGACGGCCGTGATCGTCATACATTATCTTAAATTTTTATTTGTAATTTTTATTTTAATTATGCAGTTTCCGTTCTTACCCTTACTTAAGGGTCTAATCTTATGTAAGCCCTAGGGGCATAATCATCTTATTTTAGTTTCTCTTATTTCTAAAGCCTATATATAGAGGACTTTGCTAGTATAATGGTATGATGGAATTTTAATAAAAATTTTGTTCTGCAATTTTATTCCTTAGGAGGACTTAGGTGAGATCCCTATGGGAGGGAATCGTATGTTCCACCAGCCGTAGGATGGGTCCAGACTTGTGGCTTGAAGTTCCTTGGCGAAGGGCAACCGCATCACCCACCATCCGCAGGAAGTGTACGAGCTCATGGTTTATTTTCTTTCTCTAATCCTCCACCGCCTTCTCCTTTAACCGCTAGCTAAATTTTCCCCTAGCCGTCGTCATTCTACCTCCCATCCTCTTCCCCACCACCGGACACCCACCCCCTCTCATTTTCAACCATCATCCACCACCCTCCCTTCTTCCAACCACTGGTCCCCTCCCCATCTCCACTACAAACTGCCACCTTTGGGTTTCCCAAAACCCTAGTCATTGGCCCCTTGAATCCAAAATAGTTGCTACTTCCCAAAGCTAGGTTATGAAGATTGAGAGGGAAAATAATTCAAATTCTAATTTCAAATATTTCCTAATTTGGCATGATCTATATTTGGAAAGTTTTAAATCATTCGATTCAAAATTCAAATTTAAATTAATAGGAAATTCGAAAAATCAATTCCTCTTAATTTAATTAGCCTTATTTAGGAAACCCCGTTAAACTTTTTCCCAAACCCTCCCTCTTTCTCCCACCATTCAATTAATATATTTCCCCTTTTTGCTCCCCAATTAACTCCCATCTCTTAATTTTGAAGTTCAAATTTTGAAAGGTTTTTAATCCCTTTCATAATTTAAGATTCTAAATAAAGAATCATTCAATTACCCTATTATCATCCTCCTAATTTAGACCTATCTTATTTGAAAAGATTTCATAATTCATATTCAAATGAATTTGAATTTTAAAATCTTTCATAAATATCCTACACCTAATTTAGGAAATTTCCCTCAATTAGTACAAATCTGAATTAAATGATTAGATTTGAATTTAATTCCCCCTATTCAATGTATGTGGACACATACATCGAATGAGGATAATCTCCTTCTCCCATCTCTCTTTGGCCGGCCCCCATCCCTCCCTTCTCCAATTAATTTGAAATTTAAAAGTTCACATGACCCCCCTCCCGTTCTACATCAACTACATTAAGATCTAGTCGTCACTTTGATCATCATAAATTAGGTGAATCATATGCTGAAATAATTGAAAAATTAGAACAACATAAAAAATATTTCTATTAAAAAATCCTAAGAATTAGTAGAATAAATGCTTAAAATATAACCCGTAACTTTAATGGATGTGCAATTAGCAATTATGAAGTAAAATAATAAGAAGATAGTCATGCCCAGGTTTGATAAATTTCAATAACTTAGATCAATTACATAAAAATTTGGGATATAGATATTGCACAAATAATTGGGATTTATATGAGCATTACATATTTTAATATTAATAAGTTTAGCCAGTGATGTTGCATATATCTAGCTACTGCATCAGAAAACAATTGTTTATAACTAAGTTGTGCATGCATAAATGAATATTTTAATATTAATAAGTGCAAAACTACCTAAAACATTAAGAAATTATTATATTAATAGTTGATGTGGTATCTATTAAAAAGATTAAATGCATGATAAGCATATAAACTTAATATCGAAGGATTACATAGGAAAAGGAGCCTAAGGCAACATGAATGGTTGTTCAAAATGATCTGTGAAGTAATTCTAACACTTCAGATAGCACCGCACATAAGATTCATGAAGCTAATCCAAAATAATTAGGATTTACAAGAAACTAATAATGATAATTATGATGATGAGTTTCACCATCATACTATAACAGAGATTACTTTTGCTCTTAATCATGATCAAAGCACCATTATACACAGTACGCACTTCTTTGATAATTAGGCGGGATGAAAGCTTACATTACTTGGTTTTGTAGTTAGCATGAAATTAAGCAGAAAAAAAAAATATGAATCAAAACACTAACTATCGAAATTACCTTGCATATTAAGCTCACATTTGCAGTCATGATTTCAATGATATCAAAATTGTGCCTTCGAAGATTTCTTTGGAGCCTCTGAAACATTAGCAAGGGAAATGTTTATAAGATCAATAAGATTCTAAAAATAACTTTCTTGTGTATCAATTATTATTCACAACAAACATGCCAAACATTTGGTGAGAATGTCCATGAACGATTCATGCACGCGTGCAAATACTGCACTGATGATTAAAAACTAATAAATTGACACCTAAATTTGCAAGAAAACAATAATCAAAAACAAAATCCAGTTAATAGATGTTTTCTGATTTAGAATGAAGCATGACGCCAGAAAATACAGTGACGAGAACATGAAAACTTCAGAAATAAAAGGCAACAGTGACTGCATTAAAAAAATAAAAGAAATAAAAAACAAAGCAAGTGCATAAGAACATTTGCATAATCTATATAAAATTAATAAAACTATTTGTGTGTGGCCAATTGAATGTGATGTGAAACATAAAACAGTTGCAGGAATTGTGTGGAAATAAGAGAAAGTTATTAAGTTTGCTAATTAAAACTTCATATTTCACAAGATTAGATTCTAGTATTTTTTAGTTAGAAATCTGATAATAGTATGCGGTTACAATATGGAATAGGGAGAAATGTAAAATAAGAACAAAAATGTTAGGTGCTTAATTTCCCAATTACAAGAACCCGCCAGTTAACAATTAGAACGATCGCCTTTTGTTTCCCTCACTCATACTCTCAAGGATTTCAGCGGAGGAATACTTTACACAATACTAACAATGCCACCACAAGACAACAGACACTTAAGATATTGCTCAATGAAGAGTTATTCAGAGAGGAGATGGTGGATGTTACAGAATCTTCACTGAACGGGAAGTTGATGTCCGTCAATGGCGTCTGTCAAAGTGAAGATCAGATCGATGTAGTCTTCGACGGAGTGGTCGAGCACAAAATTGATGTCAAAGGAGAGATTGAAGAACATCTACTCATCCTTGAGAGTCATACACAAATCCATGATCATGCTCGGGATTGGCCATTCATGAGCAAGTAGGCCGAGGGAGGTTGTGTGTCTTCTTCCTTAGATGACGTATCAAGCATGGGAGAAGCCATGTAAGGGAGAAGGGAGGGATTTGTGATGCGGACATCGGCACGAAAATTTGGCGCATCTATCACAGGAGGCGTCATAAATCGACGGCTCTGATTTAAGTTGTCATTTATGAATTATTTTCTGCATTTTAGTTTATATTTTATGTTATTTCCTGTTTTACCCCTAGGTTAATTTATTTGAGTGTTGTAGCCCGAGGGGCAAGTTTGTAATTTTTTATTTTCTCATGTTGTGGCCTATATATAGGGCCTTTAGCTATTGTAATATGATGGTTGATTAATATGAAAAATTTTGTGTTCCACACTTTGTTCTTGGGAGAGAATGAGAGTGAGATTCCTATGGGGAGGAATCGAAGTTTTCACCAGCCGCAGGATGGGTCCGGGCTCGTGATTTGAAGTCCCTGGGAGAAGGGCAACGCATCACCCGTCAGCCTTCGGAAGAGTCCAAGGCTCGCGGTTTTGATTTTCTACCTTTCGTTTTATCTTTGTTTCGATTTCTTCCTTCTTCCCTCTCCCCGTCGTTGTTTTCATTTTCTTCCTCCTCCCTTCTCAACCCTTCGGCCAAACCTCCATACCAAGCTCCACAAAATTCCCCCATAACCGCCGGCCACCTTCACCCGATCCCACTCTCTTGGCCGCCGGCCACCTTCCCCCACCGCTCCACCCGCCGGCCCCTCTTGGAGCTTTGAATTTGAAATTCAAAGCTCTCATGAGGCTTTGATACTTTCCTAATTTAGCTCCTTAATTTGAGGTCTCCTAATTAATTAGATTTCAATTTGAATTTGAATTTGAATTCAAATTGGTCTTAATTAATACCCTCTTATTAGGAAACTTCCCTAGCTCATTAACTCAAAATTTTCCCTCCACAAATCCCTCATTTCAAATTCAAAACATTTTGAATTTTGAAATCTTTCCTAAATTAGCGAATCTATTTTAGGAAAGTTTCTTAAGTTAACAATATTTGAATTCAAATTCAAATAGAGTTAATTAATTTCCGAAGTCTAAAATTATTTTAGGCAAGCTTGCACATATGGCACCAAACCAACTGTCACCATGCTTGCCACCAGCCTCCCCTCTTTCCTAGCCCTTTAATGCTCTTTTAATTATTTCCTAAACCCCAAGGCCTACCTTAGGAAATAAGTATGAATCTTCCTGCTGTCTCCCGTGACCGAAATCTGTATGAATAAAGGCTTGATTCGTTCTTAAAAAGAATATCTCCATCAGAGATTTAAATCAAAGCTTTTTCTGCCTTTACCACCGCCCCTCCTCTTGCACCCTATCACCGTTAATTATTTCCCATCAGGAGAATAATTCGGAAGGAAGGAATTCTAGTTCCCATCATCCACTGGCTCCTGAACCTGGGATTGGAAGTTTCCTCTCAACTTTTCTCTTCCTTCACTAAGACGTGAAACTCTTGCAAAAGGAAATTCCTTCAGAGATCTCAAGGCCCCACCGAAATAAGAGCTTTCCTCCCAAAGCTGCAGCCAGACGTCACTACCCATTAATTCTCTCCAAACTCTTCTTTAGAAGTGGAGTTATTTCCTTAATTTAATTTCCAAATCCCTGAGATTAGGATTTTGGATTTAATTCCTAACTTATTTCCTTGGTTTCCAAATCCTGTTTGCTGTGGTTGGCCGGACTCCCTCAGCTTCCTGCTGTTGGCCGAAACTTTCAAAGCCTCCCCCTTGAGTTAATTAATCTCAAATTTCCTCTCAATTTTTTTTCTGTGAGAAAAATCTGAAAATCAACAAATTTTCTCCCTGCTGCTGGCTGAGAACTTCAAAGGCTTTTCTCCACATTTTCGTCCTGCATTAATTTGGGTGGTCAGCTAAGGCTAGGAGAGGGGGTAAATTTAATTTCAGATTTTAGGAATTAGTTAGGGAGGGAAGGTAATTTCAAAATCTGAAATTTAATTTCAGATTTAGGTTGGAATTGAATGGGAGAATTTGAAATTCAAATTTCTAATGCAAAGAGGGAAAGGAGGAGGGAAGGGGCAGCCCTTTAATGGGGCTTTAATTGGGTAAGATACGAGAGAAGAGGAGAGGGAAGGCTATTACCTTCTTAATAGCAGTTCCAATTGGGGAAGGAAATAATTAAGAGAGTGGGAGAGAGGGGGGGGGGGGGGGGGCTTCCTAAAATATGTTTATATCAATTAGGAAATGTTTTGAAATTCAAATTCATTTGAATTAAGACACCTTCCTAATTAATAATGTGCTCAATTAAGAAATTTGCACATTTAGGAGAGCAAGGGGTGACCAGCGGCTAGGGTTTGGAGGAGGAAGGCTAAGGGTCGGCAACTAGGGAGGGATTTTGGAGGGTTGTGGCATGCAGCTATGGAGGAGGGGAGTTGGATAAAGGTTTAAGGGTGGTCGGCGGCTTGTGGGGTCGACCATGCCGCATCATAATGATTTATATATACAAATAGTGTAAGTGGATCACTCCAACATGTGTTTGCCAAATTTTTTTTCTTCCATCTCTTCATTTAACTCTAAGAGACACCTTGTTGAGGCTATGTTCAATTGTAAGCCCGGACTTGAATCACTTATTGATTACCTTAATCAATTTAAGGAGCTTATGTCAAGAAGTTTGAAACTCTTAAAGTAAAAAGAAGCTAAACTCTTAAACATCGAGGTGTCTTTTTGTGTAATGGTTAAAATTTCACTAAAAAACTCTAAAGTTAAGCGTGCTCGTGCAGGGGCAATCCTGTGATGGATTACCTCCAGAGAAGTTACACCAACGGGATAAAACCATGAGGCTCTTAGGCTAAAGCGGACGATACCTTGATGTTAAAATTTTTTGTTGTTACAAAATGGTTTGAGAGCAATACACTAGCCGAAATATAGGAATTAAGTGTCATACATGATAAAATGCTATGTCATGGGAGCAACACTTTCAATCCTATATAGGACAAAATGCTACATGTCGGAAGCTACCACTTGAACTTGTAGGGGCAACCTCTAGAATCTTATTTGCCTAGTGAATGATTTTAAGATAAGGACATTGACAAGAATGTTGTGAAACCCTTTAAGTAAAAAAAACTAAACTATTAAACATCGAGATACCTATTGATGTAATGGTTGAAATTTCAAAAAAAAACTTTAAAGTTAAGTGTTCTCGTGCAGGAGCAATCATAAAATAGGTGACCCTTTCGGAAGTTACACCACCGGGATAAAACCATGAGGCCATTAGGCCAAACCAAACAAAATCTTTTAGTTAAGAGTTTAGGCTATTACACCAATGGCCTCACAATTTTGTCTCGTTAGTGTAACTTCCTAGGAGGTCATTCGTCCCAAAATTGCTTATGCATCAATAAACTTAACTTTGGAGTGTCTTAAAGAAATTCAAAATTTCCAACCATTACACCAAAAGACACCTTAATTTTTAAGAATTTAACCACTTTTTACTTAAGGGATTTCACAATTAGGCCAAAGAGGACAATACATCAATAGTTAAGAGTTTGGGTTGTTACATTAATAACACCAAATGGCATGGTGTGAAGCACTCCTAATACCAATTGTATGGCATAGTGCGGGAACCTAAAATCGCAAGCGCTATTTATGGCAATAGTGCATTGCACATTGCCCCAATGACACCCGCTAATTGATTAGGGCTTGAAATTAATTTTAATATTATGTTTATATTATTTATTGTAGCCGACCTCATATAGTGGGATAAATACTTGATGTTGTTATTGTTAATGCTGCTTCTATTATTTATTAATTTATGAATAGAACAAGATAAACACAAGGGCTCGTGGCCTCCTTCTCTTAGGGTTATCATGGTCTTATTAAATGGCTTAACTAATTTACTTGTAACTCATATGGTAGTTTATTTTTCTTATTTCACTTTTTTATTAAAAAAAAATAGCTAAGGAATTTGATATTGTTTTTGTAATAAATGACTGGTCCAGTTCAGTCGAATCGAACCTTCCGTTGAAGCAAGCAAGCAGAACCGAGCAAGTA